CCGGTCTCCATCTTGGAATTGGGAGGAAGAGGGAGAGGGAGATCGGGACGAGACCAGGGCTCTGTTGCGGAGAGGAGCTGAGACGGAGAAGAGAGAGAGGGGGCGCGGGGGCCGCCGGCTGCGTCTTAGCTACGATTTTTCCGCTTTCCTCGGGAGAGCGAAGGGGAAAGGGAGGAGGCCGGGGCGGGAGTGTGGGCTGTCACCCTCGGACCCTGGCGTGAGAGGGGCCGTGCGGCCGGACGCCCCCGGGGTGGGCCCCCTGTCGGTGGCCGAAGACCCGGGGTTCAGGCTCTTGGGTCCCGAATTCCCAGGCTTGGCCTCTCTCCTCAAATATCCGGCATCAGCGCCTCAGATCCCAGATATCCGGGGCTCGGCTCCCAACCTCTGCAGACCTCGGGCTCTCTTTCATAGGATTTCAAATCTCTGGGGTCCAGGCCCCTCGGTGCACCAGTATCCGGGGTTTACCCCCCAAGGCTTTCAAATACCGGATTCGGCCCCCTGCGCTCAAATATCCGGGGTTCAGACCCCCCCCCCTCAGAAATCCGAGATTCAGCCACTGTCGCCCCCAAGGAGGAGGAGGACTGGACCGCGAGGTCAGATCAGGTTGTCACCCCCTCCCCTCCAGGGGCGGCTTCCCTGGCCCGCCCCTCAGGAAGGGCGAAAGCTCAAGGAAGAGGTGGCCAGGGGCAGGGTCCCCTCGCCCCTCTCCCTGTCTGGCAGAGCCGCTGGAGGACCCCAGGAGGAAGCGGAGGCGCTGGGGCACCATAGTGACCCCCTCCAGGTGAGAAGTGGGTTGCAGGGGCGCGGGTCCAGCAACCAGAAGAAAGGGTGCTCCTTTCTGGAAAGCTGGGCCCAAGAAGACCTCTCCTCAGGGTGGGGGAGCCCAGCTGGGCAGTGGTCAGCCTAGCCTTGGATTGCCACCCTCTAATTCTTCCCTCCATTGTGTCTGGTCGAAGAGGCCCTCAGGTGACAGGGGGGGGTGTCACACCCTAGGATGCTTGAATGAATCAGATGGGTCTGCACCTTCCTGATGTTTCCCCACGCACTTTGCCCCTCGAAGTCACCTCGACTTGCTTTCTTCTGTTGGGGGTGTTGAGTCCCAGCCCTCTGATCCTTAATGGTGGGTGGGATCTACTTTTCAGGCCTGGTTTGGTGGGCTTCTTGTCTTTGCAAAGAAAGTGAGTGTGTGTGTGTGTGTGTGTTTGTGTGTGTGAGATGACTGGCAGTATTTCCGTATTTCCTCTCCAGCTACAGTTACCTTTCAACCTTTTGCGATGATCTAAATAATCTCATCCATTTGTTGAGTGGCCTCTCTCCTCCCTGCTACACCAGGAGTGGCACATTTACTGGTGGGGGGGGGGAGGGGTGGCGCAGAGCAGGGGACCCTTGATGGCTGTCTTCCTTCCTGTTTTACAGTTGGGAACATTGAGGCCCAGAGAGATTGCCCACCGGTCACACCAGTGGCAGAACTAGGATTTGAACCTAAGTCTTGGATTAAGTTTTGCCCCTGCTACACCTCTCCCGCTGAGCCTGGGCTGAGCACTCGATGAGGGAACCAGAGCTGCAGTGAGGTTTAAGGATGGGGCTGAGCTGGAGACCAGCCTTCCTAGCAGCCGCTCCGACTCCTGTGCCTCCTGGGTTTCTCTCTCTTTACTGTGACCTTCATCATTCCCCTGACCCCAGATTCTGGCCCAGGTGGCCAAAAAGGCTCTCTTTTGACCAACGGTAGCCTTAACGAGATCTCTTAAGCCTTTAAAGCCAAGCTGCCCGGGGAAAATGACCCCCTCCCACCCCACCCCAAAGAATTCAAGTGGTGGTGTGACAGATGCACATGTTTAGTGTCTGCTAAGGACTCCAAGGAAATGTAGCCCAGCAGTGCCGCCCCCCCCCCGCCCCCCAGCTGTGATCTGTTGTGTAGAAGAGAAGGCCAAGTCTACGGTTTCCTCAAAGCCCTGTTGCTCTCCCTTGCTGATGGGCATCTATTGGCAGTGCCGAGTAGACTGAGGGGTTTGGGTGACCCCATCTGCAGAAGGGAGATGACGTGCATCTTAAAAGGTGCTTTGAGATGGAGCCCAGACCTTGGTGGTCACTCAAGAAGTGTGCATTGTTGTGAGAGGTCCAGGAGCTCCTGGACCAATTTGGGGCACCTCTTACCTGTGACTGGGGAGGTGGGGGTGGGGGTGCAGATGGGGCACGGTCCTTGGTTGGCATTCTTGGGCTAGGTGCTGGAGAAGAAGTCAGGAAGGTTCCCTTGGCAAAATGTGCGCACCTGTCTCTGTGTGGGTGTGTGGGTGGGGGTGAGAGGTGCTTAGCTGCTGGGAGGAAAGAGGGAGAAGGGGCCCTGCTGTTAGCAAGCAGCCTGGGAACTGCTGAGGGCGGTCAGCCTATCTCCTAGCGGTTGTGAGTGTTCTAGACCCCATGACCTCCCACCAGAGTCCCTCCAGCTTCCGGTGTCCCAACAGGACACAATCGCATGCTTGATTGTTCAGTGTTTTTAAGTAGCTAGAATGCTGCCTTAGGGGTCCAGCTCTCTGAAGCCGCCTTTGTATCTTGTGCCTGAGCCCGAGTTCCCTCGATGCTTAGCCTGGCCAGGAAGCCCCTGGGGGTGCCGGCCTTAAAGGAACTTTCTCTGGGGCCTTTGCCTGGTGTTAAGGGCCTCTTCCAAGGGGAAGCTTTCTGTGGGCAGGAGCCTGAGAGAAGAAAAGCTCCTTATTATTCAACATTGGACACCTCGCTGTTCCTCCGTGGCCCAGAAACGGTGCTTATGCCCCTGGCCTGTAGTGGTTCAGAGGGCTGGGCTTCAAGCCTGCTGGTGGACCACCCTCTTGGAGCAAGCAAGCCAGCCTTTCTGAGCCCATCGGCTCGTCTGTAAAACAGGGCTGATAATTAACCCCAGAGCATTGGGGTGAGAATGAAGTGATGGACGATGCATGGGCAGTGCCCCCTCTCTGTGCTCCATCATTGTTCTGTGGACACCAAAGATGCCCTGTACCCATGTACGCTCTTGGACTGGGCAAATAAGGCAGCTAGCTCCCAGGGCCCACAAAGCCAGGCTCCATGTCTCGCTCTCTCCTTCCCATTTCCAGATCTCTTCCCCTGCCCCAGTGTCCCTACCCACTTTTAAGGTGAGCCTCCTGGCCCTTTGGGCTAGTACCCACTTCTAACAATGGCCGGATTTCCACAGCCTCCGGCCTGGCCATTTCCTGCCTTCTTCCAGGGTGTGAGAGGTTGAGGGAGGAGCGCCCCCCTCCCCTCCCCGCACACTTAGGGGAACAGGAAGGTGCCTGGAAACCAGTGGCATGTGGGACCTTTGGGCGAGGACCCTTGGGTCTCTCCTTTCTTCTGGAAGGGAGAGGTCAGGAGAAGGAGGGACCGTTTGCTGGGGGCTGAGGAGGGGAGGGAGGAGGTAAAGCTTTCCTGACTCTTCC